CCCCAAAACCCCAAAACCCCAAAACCCCAATATTCAGGCAAAAAATTGCGATTATATAATAAAGAATAAATATGTGTTGGATATTAGGAACAGCAGCGTTCAAGCGAGATTTTGTGAAGAAGTTTAGTGTTAAGGTACAGGGGATGTGTGTTATGGTGATTCTTGTGATGCTTTGGAGTAGTTGAGCTGGGTATGGACCTAGTGGATGAGGTGAGGGGTATTATTTGGAAGGTGAGGCATGTAAAGTTTGTGATAAGTCGTGTAAAACTTGTGGAGGAGGAAATTCATGTGACTCATGTGAAGATTTTATGTACTTAAACTCCACAACAGGTCTATGCCAGACTTGTTTAGAAGGAGAATACTATGATAAAATTGGAATTATTTGAAATCCCTGAGGAGATATTTGAAATTACTCATGCTTTTACCAGAAGAAATGATTCTTGTGTCCTGAGCATAAAAAGCTTGATATTGATACTTTTCAATGAGTTGACTTTTGAGATGTTGGAAAAATCCTCATAATCTCAGAACAGATAAGTGTTGGTGCAATTTGAAAATTTCCAACTATATACATCGAACCATTAAGTGACAAAGACATAGAGTTGGGAACTCGCGAATATCCATATCGGAGTTTCAAGTCTGCTTCGGCTGAAATTTTAAATTATTATAGCCATTCTGATAAAAATATAACTATGTATGTAAAAGATGGCTATATCGAGATGGACACAATGTATTTCTTAAACTTGACTAATGTTAAGATCACTAGCCATCCTGATTATCAAGATATGAATAGAAGGGCCAATTTAATATTTTCAACTATAAAGCAACCTGGGATCTCTTCAAAAGCTAGATTCCATATTTTGAAAAATGATTTATTAAACTTAGCACGCAAAATATCTTCAGGAAACTTTATCGAAAGAGAGATGAGTGAAATTTCAAAAACAAAAACAGGCTTTGTTGTTGCTCGAACTGGGTTTGAGATTTCAAATATTGAATGTTACAGTAACGAGCTTGACTATTTCCTCGTCCCAGTATTTTTCCAAAGCAAACTCCTGAAACTAGGTGAGTCTTACTTTTTTGTTAGACGTATTAATTTTAAATAAATAGAGAACATGCACTTCAACGTAACAGGAACTTCAATCCAAATCTATGACCCAATAAATATTCATTTTGACAATATTGAGGTTGATATCTCAAGAAAAGGAAGATTCTTCAGAGCTACTGACATAATCTGTAATTATCCTGAAGCTGATATTCTCGGCTCCGTTTATGTAAATAATATCAGATCAGAGATTTCTATAGCTCAAGATCAATATAGTTACAGTTTGATATCTGCATTTTTCCCTGCAAATCTGACATACAGCAATATCAATTGAAGTCAGCACTTTGTAGATAATAATCTCGAAGGCTGATTTGATGTTCCATATAGTTCTTTGTGAAATCCTATTGATGATGCAATTCAAACACATATTTTAGACAACATTAATGATGACGGAACAACCCAGAACCTGGGAGCAGGAATCGTAATTATTACTCCTGGAATAGCACATTCACCTTATCACCGACAAATCAAAAATAATGTAACAAATTTTACATTTATGAATATCAAACAGATCTCAAATTATGGAATTCTATACTTTTGGGGATCTGGAAGTGAGATCACTACTCTTTCAAACTTTAAGTTTCATAACTGCTCAAACTCCAAGTTTTTCATTCAAATATTAAACCATAAATCCTTAGAATTGAAAAATTTCACAATTGAAGAGACCAAAGAGCATCCTGGAGGAATTTTGGATATCAATATACCAGGAGACTTGAAGGTAGTGAATTTTTATATCATAAATTTCACAAACGGACAAAGTTCTAAAACCCCAATAAATTCCCTGAGTACTCTTTCTTCTTCAACTTTCACTTTTGAAGGCATAGTGGTAAAAGATTCAGCAATAGAAAATGCTCCTTTAATCAAAGTTCTGACTTCTTTCAATAAAGTACTGGTCTCCTCTCTTTGGCTTGAAAACATGTTGGTTCCGACAGATGGATCAGTCCTGACTTTTGATATTTGAAATACATTGTCAATATCCAATGTCACACTTATGAATGTGAGCCCTTTATCCGATGAAGACCTAACTGCTAGTTTGGTGCATATTCCAATCTTAAATTATGAAGTAAATGGTGAAATAGACATCCACGATACTTCGATCAATAATTCTGTAATCTCATTGATTAAGACTGATTCTGTTCCCTTCTCAGAAACAGAGAAAAAGATTACTTATCAAAACATATCTTACATGAACTCTGTTATTCCTAGTGATAGAGAGATTATCACTACCTATGGGTTCTTTAGTGGTGCTAATCTGAAGCTCACCCTTGATCAACTACATTTTGGGAATATCAGCTGCCCAAAACAAGCATCTTTACTTGGCTTCCAGCACAAACTTTCCGATGTAGTTGAAGTTACTAATTCGATTTTTATGAACATAAGAGATTGTATGATCAATATAGGAAGTAGGTTTCCTTCTGAGTTGCCAACTTATGTCAGAATTTCAAACTCAGTGTTTGAGGATATTATCTTGCCTTCCTTTTCTTTTATTACAGTCCATGTCGGAGGAATATTTGAGATCGAAAAATGCTTTTTCTCTAGGATTACTTCATTTAACATTCTCTCTGGACCAATTGATGCTTCAGATGGAGGTACGATCAAAATAACTGATTCTACTTTTCAAAATAATTCAGCAATTAGAAATTCTATTTTTGTAACGGAATCTCTGGGTTACATTAAATGAATCAATTGCACTATTTTTTATAACTTTGCTCTTAAAAATGCAGTCTTTGAAGCCCTAACAAGTGGGATAATTAAGTTTGAAAACAGCAATATTTACCAAAATTATGCGATAGAAACTCCAGTCGGGACAGTTTTTCATGGAGTCGAAGCTTCAGTTATAAATAACACTCTGATTCACTCCAATAGTCTAATTTTGAAAAACGATATAGAACATGAAATATCGTTGGATTGAGTCAAGTTATGCTTTTTAGATAATGAAATGAAAGAGTATCTTGCAAATCTTGACCTCAGTTCGATATCTGAATCGGGAACTTGGATACAATTAATACAAGGAGAACTCAATATAATTAATAATAGCAGTATTCATTATGGAAATTCACAGATATTGAGCTGTTTCACTTCCACATTATTGATCCAAAATTCTACAATATCAGATATAAATTTTAGTGAACCTGCTATTGAAGCTGTATCAACTCTTCTACAGATAAGTAATGTAACTATTCAGAGAGGAATATTATTAGGCACAAATAATAGTCAAAGCTTTATCCAAATAACTTCAAGCACATTGCAGATATCTACTTTGAAGTTTTATGAATCAAACTCTCAATTAGTGGAACTAATTCTCTCAAGAGGAATTTTAAGCCAACTAGAATTTGAAAATGTTACAAATTCCGAATTTATCCGTGCTCTTCACTGTGGTTCCTTTACTTTAAGCAATATCTCAGTTCAGAATGTTTCTTTCACTAGTGAATCATTAGTAAACATACAGAACTCTCAAGATGTAAATCTCCAAGATATAAAGTTAATTGGTCTTCAAACAAGGATAAGCTTAATCATAAAATCTCAAGTTTCAAGTATAAAAAATATTAAAAGTCTTGGTGGCAGTCAAGTTTTGAAGTTTGTAAAGACAAATGTCACAGAAATTATTGATTCTCAGTTCTCTAATAATACTCAACAAGAAGCTCAGAAAGGAGGAGCGATAGAGACGGTAGATAGTTGAGTTTCCATTCGAGATACATATTTTAATAACAATTCTGCTTCCTCTGGAGGAGCTATCTATTTTGGGTGAACAAACTTAGAAAACTGTGAATTAATTATCCATAATTGAACATTCAGTAATAATTCAGCAACAGAGAAAGGAGGAGCTATTTATTATAACTACAACCATCCAAAAATGACTCAAAATAGCTTTTTAAGGAATTCAGCTCCTTATGGGCCAGACCTCGCTAGTTATCCATCCAGGATTGGGCTTATTAATAGCCAACCTTCTGACAATATTTCAATATCTAATGTGGCTTCTGGAATAGTCATTGATGAAACATTAGAATTGGCATTATTTGATATTGATAACCAAATAATGAATATGGATAATTCTAGTAAAGTCACGATTATAGCCAAGAATAGTGACATATCTTCAACAAAAGGAACCAATGTAGTTTCTGTATTTAAAGGGATTGCTAATTTTACCAATATTGCTGCAGTAGTTGACCTAAACTACAGAGTCGCTAACTTTAGTGTCAACTCCCAGACTATCGATAAGCATAAAGTATTAGAAGTTCTTGGGCCTGATGGTGCACAGAAAGATCTGGTAATCAATTTTAGAGATTGTCAACCTGGAGAACGAATTCTTGGGAACCAATGTGATGTTTGAGCTGCTGGCACTTACTCTCTTACCTGGAACTCCACAGAATGCAAAGAATGAGATTTAAATGTGGATTGACTGGGAGGACAGCAACTCTCTCTAAGACCTGGGTACTGGAGACAATTCAGAAACTCAACTACAATTGCTGAGTGAATTAACAAAGAAGCCTGAGAGGGAGGATACAGCACAGATGGTTTAACCCCTTCCAAATGAGCAGATGGGTATAGTGGAGTCTTATGAGCCCAATGAGTAGCGAACTCTGAAGCTAAGTATGAAAGAATAAATGATTTTGAATGACAAAAGTGACCAAACGTTGTGTGGAATGCAGTGAGAGTAATAGGTACTATAGTAATAATCTTCTCGTTCTTTGCACTTGTTATTTTTATAAATGTTAGAAAGAAAAATGAAAGTGCACTTTCTGTGTTGTTGAGAATTTTAACTAACTATGTTCAACTGTTGACAGTATCAATATCTATGACTAATGAATACCCATCAGCAATAGCTTTACTATCAATCCCAGTAAAGATGTTAGGAGGGTCGACTGATGCCTTTCTGTCATTTGACTGATTCATAGAAGATGCTGAGATGAAGCTTGTATTCGATTCTAACGCTATTTTCAAACTATTTATTCTAATGTTCCTTCCTTGTATTCTATTTGCTCTAATGACACTAATATGGTTACTGGCATATTTAATCAAAAGAAAGTGGGTTAAAGATTTTAAAAGAAACCTCGCAATTTCATTCATCACAATTGTTTTTATTCTTCACCCGAAATTAACCGAAAGAAGTATAAGTATTTTTCAATGAGTAGAAGTAGATGATGGCTTTAGTGTTGCAAAAATAGACACAAACATTGAGTGCTTCTCCTCAACCCATTTGAAATGGTGTTTCTTGGTGGCTGTTCCAATTCTCATAGTTTGGGTAATCTTATGTCCATTACTGGCTCTTTTTGCTATCTTCTATGGAAAGAAAAATTCAGGAAGTAGCAAAGTTCATAAATACTTATTAATGATGTATCAGGGACTAAAGCCAGAAGCAATATACTGGGAGTTTGTCAATACTCTCAGGAAAGTTGCAATTTTAGTGTCACTATTATTTCCGAAAACAATTTCTATCTGCATCTCCCTTGCAATTCTTATAGCCACAGCAAGAATTGAAATATGCTTGAAGCCTTATAAAGATGCAGAAAATTGTAAAATTGAGTTCTTGGCAATCATGGCAGGAGTCTGCACTATTATGTCCGCTTTAATTTACTCCCAAAATGAAAAACACAGTGTGCTGGATGCGATTGTGCTTTTGATAGTAATAATAACAAATTTTAAATTCTTGATAGAATGGGTGTATCTTCTCCTCATAATCTATAAAGACAAGCATCCAGTTATTGAATGAGTAAGAAATTACTGAATACGACTTATAGATTTTCGATGTTATGACGAAATTGCTGTGTAAAAGAAAGAAGTAAGCTTTAGTTAATTAAAGATAGACTATCTGTTGAACAAAAAGATTTAGAAAAAGAATCAAAGAAAAACTTCACAAGTCAGAAAGTAGGGTTTTATTTTTCATATATAGGTGCTTGATAAGACTTTGAGATCTAAGGAAAATTCTGAAACAATGCTCCAGAAAAATCAATATGAGGCTCCAAAGAGTATGCCATATTTTCAAATATAGGGCTCTTAAAACACCCAAGGAGGATAAAGAGGAAGAAAATACCAAAGAAGAAATCAAAGAAAAAATCAAAGAAGAAATCAAATAAGAAATCAAAAACACTACAGTTTAACCATTCCAATGAATTAAAAAATTTGTAAGCTCTGTAAATTATTCTTTAGAGAGGAGCATAAGGGTACGTCCAAATTAAAAACTCCACCCCAACATAAACCCCTATCACCCCTCTTTCACCCCCTCACCTCTCATAGACCCCACCTCCCCCAAAAACCTGCCCACCCACAGCTCTCGGTCCGCCCACAGATTCCTTCCCCCAGTACCCCCTCCCTAACCTCTAGATCTCCTCCCGCCCTTACACTGACCTAAACCTGCCCAACCTGCCTTCCCCATAACTCTATTCCCAATATCCCAATATCCCAATATTCCAGTATAATCTTCAGCCATGGGCTTAGCAGTGGGGTTTTGGGGTTTTGGGGTTTTGGGG